GGGGGGGGTAGGAGGGATGGGGTTGAGGTGGTAGGGGGAGTTTCAATTTTTGGGACAGACTATTTGACCTTCTGTTCTTCCCACTTCTACACCGCGATGGATCCCTAAGTTGGTGGTGTCCCTGTGTTGCAGATGGGGAAACTGAGGAAGAGACGCTAACTGATTTACTCAAGGTCCAGTAGTAAATGAGAACCAGAGCTGGGGCTGTGGGTCGCAGGACAGTGGTCCTTTTCTGTGACCGTATGATCTCTCTGTGGTGTCATGTGCATTTGCGTGATAACTTCTGCACGCTCTCAACCGTGGTGCTTGTACAATCATGCAAGCGAAGAGGTGACCGCAGTCTCATGCACTGAATTTTCCAGATGGAGATGCCCCAGATTGGATTGTCACATGAGGCTCAGCACAGATTTGTTATATGGGAAAAGTTCTTGGAGATGCATTTAGATTTCAGAGCATCTGCAACAAAAGGAGAGAACTGTCAATACATCCCTCCTAGTTTGCTTAGTCATGGCAGGGCCTTTTTAGAGAAGGAGTTCACCATGGTAGCCTGAAGTTAGACAGGAGGTAGGTGTAGATACACACCTTATAGACAAATTAAATAAGATGTATATCGAACACATGCTTTTGTGAACTTGACATCACTCCTTTTGGGACTTTTTAACCAAACAGACTGTAAGCGAGCTGCATTTCTTATAACTTTAGGTAAAGTGCAACATTTAGGCTTAACCATGTGAGCAGGACAGGGAGAAACTCTCTGCCTTATTTCAGCTGAGTCCACCCATAGGTTTTGTGCATGAGACCTGATTGATTGCTTTCCCCAGGACAGCTGTGCACCCCTTTCCTCCACCCCCGGAGTGGATGAGTATATCCAGATCCCCTTGTTAGGTGCCGGATCCTATTCAGAACTGGTTTCTAATGAAGCCAGCTATTGCGCAGGTCAAAACCGAGGTCAGGATGCTTGGACCACCACTTAGCATCTGCAAACGATGGACAGTTATTCTGTAGACCTTGTGGGATAGGGTACGCTGTGTCCTGCAGCGCTGATGGCTCTGCTCTGAACTCCTTCCAGTTTGCGACGAGCACTCGGACTACAAGGACGCCAAGCTGCTGTACCGCTTCCGCAAGGACGACGGGACTTTCCCTCTCAACAAAGATGTGAAGGTCTTCATGAGGGGACAGAGCCTGCACGAGAAGTACGTGAGTCCTTCTTTGCATGGCTTATCGCCATGCGATGGCCTGGCTGCTCTCACTGCTGCAGCTTCAGGGCCTTTCGCTGCTGCTGCTCTTTCTCCTTCGCGCCCTGCACGCTGACACCACCGGTTACCTCCACCCGATGTCTTGCTCTCCTTGTCGCTGATCAGTTATCTGCACCCGCTGTCTTGCTCTCCTTGTCGCTGCAGCAAAGCAACAGGCTTAGGTGGAGTTCAGAAGTAGATGTGAGCTGGATGCAGAGTCTGAGCCCACGGATGCTGTGGAGGGTCTGTGTTCAGATCCAGGCCTAAACTTCACTGCCTGGAGCCATCAGTAATGAGCCCGGGCTTCCCTGCTTCCCGTGGGGAACTATCTGAAGCTTTGCAAGCCCCAAATTCAATTCCTAGCTCAGCCACAGCCTTGGGGAAGCCTTTTTGCCTCTGTGCCTCAGTTGCACATCTGTAAAATGGGTATTCTGGCACGGCCCTGCCTCCTCAGGGTGTTGTCAAGATAAATACACAAATCATTTCAACTGAAACACAAATTCTCATTTGGGAAGGAAAACTCTTCTTTGTCTCTGTTTTTGATTAGATTTTTCTGTCCGTCGGCTCCTGTTCTAAATCTGGGAAATTGTCTTCTGTGAATCACATTCAGCCCTTTTTATCTGGACTTGTTTTGCCCCCTAAATCACGTCTGTACTTCGCTGTTTCAAGTGCCCTCTTATCTTAATGCTCCATCGGTTGCTGAGCATCAACAGTCGGATTCAAAAATTGCAACTAAGGTGGGAATCCAGCATCAGGCAAGCAGGGAGAGGAATCGGTCGGGGCTTGGCCTCACGTTCTGCCCTCAAACCAGCAGGAACGAGCAGGGGGAAGGAGATATTTCTCTTTTGCTTTTGCACAGTATAAGAAACTGGGTTCTGCAAAACTCCCGCTAGCTCTCCGCATCTGTGAGGCTGATGCACCCTCTTGTGGAGGCAGAAACGTCAAACTTCCTCCTTGCAGGACACTGGGCTGCATTTATGCTCTGTCTTACCCTTACCCAGCTTTAATTCTCTGAGGTTGCTTTTCTTGGCTCAAACACTTGGTCTTGCCTTGAGTTTCCAGGAGAATTAATTCACCTCCCCTTCCAACCCTTTTTTTTTTTTTGCTTGTTTTTAACCCATGTGAAAGGAGTGCCTTTTGCATGACTGCCCCTGAGCACATGAAATGCAAGTTAAAAAAAAAAATGCAGACGCCAGGTGCCTTTTCAACCTGGCTCTGGGCTCTGTTGCAAATGCTTGCAAAGCTCTTTACCTCTCATCTTATCTTCCGAGTGAGTTGGCATTTCAGGTTGTGCATTCAACTGTTGAGTGCCTTGGCTGCCTCCTCCTCATCTGTGTTTAGAAGGAGACCTAGAGTTTAGCTTTGATCAGGTGGGTTCGACCTCTCGCATCGGTTGCCTTTTCTCTCTACTATCTTAAATATTTTAAGTAATGGGCTTTCTGCTACTTCTCAGGGCTTGTCTGAGTGAGAGGGCTGCGTGACTTTAACTGAAGACAGCATTTTCAGTTTATTCCCATAAGCCAGTGGGCTGTGTGGGGAGCCTTTACATTTTGCTTTCACTTCACTTGCCCATTGGAGGGTTTATACATGGTTCTGCACTGGTTTAACTATAGATGGAGTTAAAATGACACCACTGAGGGCTCTTCCCCCAGGGAAGGTACTGTGAAGTGAGTGAGCACACTGAATCCCAGTGTAAATGCTCTTGGCGTATTGGGTAGCTTACTCCACTTTCATTGGAGTATCCCACAGGGGTGTTTGTGTAGAGCAGGCAACGATCTGTGAACTCACCTCCTTTGTTCCTTTGGGTAAACTGGATATCTTTTATTAGACCCGCTCAAAAAGTTGGGAAAATTCTTCTTTGCACGCTTTTGGGTATAAATACCCTTCGTCAGGCTGAGGAAGCATCTGCGGTTGGTGAGGAAGCATCTGCAGGGTGTTTATACCCGAAAGCTTGCAAAGAAGAATGTTTCCAACTATTTTAGTTGGTCTAATCAAAGAGATCAGATTTACCCAACGCACCTTGTCTGCCCACGTCCTTAGACCAACACGGCTACAACCTACACCCCCTGGTTTCATTCACTTGTCCCAGCTCTCTTGGCCACTGCAGATAGGACAAGCCCTGCACCACTTTTGCAGTAGTGGGGCTAACAGAAAGATGACTGCTCCCCCTCCTATCCTCTGCTTTACCCATTGCCTCGTTCCTTTTCTGTGCCAGGCTGATCAGTGTGGAGGACTCGATACTGAAGGCGAGAGAGGAGAACGCCGTGAAGTACCAGAGGACATTCCTGGGCTGTGAGATGATCGACTGGCTCATCAAAGAAGGGGAGACTGCCAACCGAAAGGAAGCGATAGAGCTAGGCCGGGCACTGCTGGAGCACGGGATCATTCAGCATGGTACGTGGGAACCCCCCGGGATGGGGAGGATGGGGCTCCTGGCCCTGCAGTGCTGGGAACAAGCCTCCGTTCATGCCATGCAGCAAATGCTCGTCATGTGCTGAGCGCTGGTTCCTCCTCGCCGGTAGTAATGAGCCTATTGAGTGCTATCTATGGAGAATGGGACCTTTGGCAGCCAGGCTGTCTGAGGCCGCCCTCAAAGGCTTTGAGATGCAATCTGAGCCATTCCTTGGCACTTCTTCAAAGCTTCAAGCTGAAGCCTGAACTAGGATCCATTTCTGGATGTTGAAGGGTGCGTGTGTATATATGTGTGTGAGAGAGAGAGAGAGAGGAAGCAGGGAGGGAGATCAGATCCAACACTTGCCATTAACACTAGAAACAGCTGAGCTGAGGGAACTGGGCCAGGGTCGGGTCCTTTTCTAAGGAGATGTTTGGAAGTCAGTGATGGATGCCTGTATCAGAGATTCAGATATTTATTCATATCTTTGTTGGGGAAGAACAGCTCCTACCCTTTCAAAAATGAGAGGAGACCCAGGATAGTTTCCTGAGGGTATTTGCAACTAGGGATCAAATGAGTTCTCCCCAGCACAGATGCATGCAATTCAGTGTGGGGGGGGCTGCAGGTCACCTCCAGGAAAGGTGGGTCTACCTTGAGCCAGTCTGGGCTGCTACGCTCTCCTAGTTCTGATGCTTTTTACTTTCAACAGTAATTAAGTTTATGGGAAACTGGGGAGAGAGAGGTTTTATTAGGGGCAAAGAGCCCCCCTGAGAGTTTAACGGCATGGGGCAATAGGGGATTTTCAAAGTTTGCTAAGCTCATGGGGGCTGAGCAAGTAGGTGCTTTTAAGCTGTCTCTGGAAAGACTGCCCTGCCATTTAGCCCCTCGGCTGCAGTAATGGGCAGTTTTTAATGGAAGGCTGCTTATGTCACGGTAGCAACGTTTGGTTCAGCCCGTGGCTGCTAAGGCAGCATCGAGGGGGACGCGGCTCTGAATCCTCCCTGCCATTCCAGATGGAGAAAGGGAAAATGGGAAGGTGTCCCCTGGCTGCGGTTGGTAGGGGAGCATCCCCACTTCCACCCCCATGCACCCTGTGTTGGCGAACGTGGGAATAAGGACGTGCGTTGCATTGCAACCCCTAATTATAAAGACCGGAAAATGTTGTCATTTGAATGCATTCATGCAGGGCCTTGTCATTTGCCTTGTGCTCCCGAGCCGGGAGGCAGGCTTGCTTGCAATGATGAGGACGAGGAACTCATGTTATTTAGTGAAAATGGAGTTTCTCATCTAATCACTCGACTCTGGGAGCTGGGGCGTAAAGGAGAGCAGCAAATATGGTCAGAGTTGTCAGCATAGCTAAAAGCGCATGCGGTTGTGCTCAGAGACCCACCTGCCTGCCCATCCTTTCTCTCCTCAGTCTCCAGCAGGTACCACTTTTTCGACAGCAACCTCCTCTACCAGTTCCGGATCAACTTCCGCCGGAGGCGGCGGCTCACGGAGCTGCTCAATGAGAACTCGCCTCGGGCTTTGTCGGACAGCCCAGATAGTCCCTTCTGCCTCCGGAAGCTCAACCCAGACCAAGGCAACACCAGCTTTCTCTCGGGTAACTGCGGTGGGTTTGAAGGGATGGGTCTACTTAAGTGCTTGAAGCATGAGGGACTGATGGGAGGGAGGTTTTGAATGTCCAGTCTCATGACCTGGGGTCTGGCTGGGATTGTGGCAGTCATTGCTCTGCTGTGTCTACTCCCACTTCCCCCTCTACTCCTTGGTTTGAGTTAGCATCACCCTGTTCTCTTTCCTCCTTCCACTGAGAGAGCTTCTCCATTGGGCTTGCTTGAGTGGCTACTTGCTGCACCGGAGGGAAGGAGGGCTGCTGTTTAAACTTCTCGTTGCTGGTTCAGGAACCAGCAACCTTGTGCACCCTAAGTCCCATCAACTAATGTGACCTCCTCTATGTAGGAGGAGGAGATCCCAGCTCATGCAGGAGGGAACTGGCTTTACACTGAGCAGCAGCATTGAGTGGGAAGCAGGGAAGAAGCAAAGCAAGGAGAGAGGCTGGGAAAATGCACCTCGACCCTGGGGATGGGAGATGAGGATCTTGTTGCAAGTCTTGCTGCTCCCATCCTTGAGGCCCCAGCTCTGGCCGCACAAAGAGCAGCGAAGGGTGATTTCCAAAGAGGCAGAGCTTGTGGGGCCAAGCCATTCAGACCGCTTGCACCCCCAGAATGGAGTGGGAATCTCATAAGGACCCTGCTGGAACAGGGAAACGGGGAACTTCGGACCCTAGGGGAACAGGGAAATTTGGGAGCAACGGAGAAAGGCTTAACTGCCTGCATCCCTATTGGGATTCACCTGGGTCTGCCAAAACAGATCCAGTTGCTGTTTGTGTTCATGTCTTTCAGTGCAGCCCAACAAGGAGATAAAACTCGTCTCAGCTGTTCGCCGAAGCAGCGTCACGTCTCTGGCCGGAAGCTCCAACCCTTATTTCAGCGCTACCCCCAGCTTGGGCTTCCTGCCAGCAACTGAATGCAACCCCAAATCAGGTCCGGACGTGTTTTCCTGCCATGCTGATGAAGGGGCAAGGCGGGATCTCAAGCCCAGTGGTTTTTGCTTGGGTTTTTCCCCCTGTTTTGCCTGACTGAAGAGGTGTCAGCTGTTAAACTAGTGATAACAGAGCTTGCTTGAAGAGGTCAAAGGGGGAAGGGAGGAATTGCTTTAGTTCCTGCTGCCTGCAACACCTCTATGCCTCTTCTGGATCAGGGGGCAGGGATGCAGCATGAACCAGTGATGGTAACCAGGACGTCATTAGCTTTGCTTCTTCACACTTAAGGTAGAAGTCAGTTTCCTTTAGGAGCCCAATGATCTTTCCCTTGCAATAAATGATTCTTTCCCTTAGCTGCCGTATGCCACATCTTCTTGTAAGGGAAAGCAGCTTTGCTTTAAAACAATATTAAAAAAATAAATCAGGAAATGAGTTTTAAAATGATGGACGCTGAATTATAACTGGTTTTACCGTCTATTCTCTGTGGGGGCGGGGACGATGGGATATCTGTCATTGTCGTCTTGCTTTATTGTATCTTCAGAACAGCTTGATCTCAAAGCATTGGGTGTTTGGGGGGAGTGCTGACTTTTTTGCTAGCACTTGACTGCTCTTTTGGGAGGGTGTATGTGTGTTTACTAAAGCGTTCAGAGAGTTATTTCTGCAAAGAAGTTTTAAAGACTGTGTGTGTGTATGTGCGTGTGTGCAGGCATGTGTGTGTGCATGCGCACGCCAGAATTTTTCAAGTTCTCGTTGATAAGTAGACTGCTTATATCTGTATTCAAATCCTGAATGCTTGCATGCTCCTTTTTTTCTTGTGGAAAGTTTATTAAAAAACAAAACTAAACTGAAATAGCAGCTGAAAACTTGTGACCAGCTCTAATGTCTCTCTATTGGAGAAACAGCTCGGGAAGAGGTCTTGGTGTCTGTCGGTGTGTTCGGTTCTTGGAGAACGCTTCTGCGCGGAGGGTTCCCACAACCAGTCTCCAGGCGGGGAGTCCCCCGGTTTCCTTGTTCTGCGTTGGACCGTACAAAACCTTTGCATATGTTGATTCTGATAGGAGCTGTCTCCTTTGGCTCTAGTGTTAAAGAGGCCTGTCACCAACGAGGAGCTCCTGTCCCCTGGGGCGCCGTACATCAAGAAAACGCTAACCGTAAGTGACCACTGCGAATGCCACTGCTAATGGGATGTTGCTAACCTCTCCTGGCTGCGCTGTAGCTTGCTGCTTGCCTTGACTTCTCTCTGCAGAAGATCCAGACTCCTCCTCTGTGAGATTATTGGGTACTGGCATTGGATTTGGGGTGATTTTTGGCATATTCTTTGGGTTGGAGCTGGCAGACAGTGTCTTCAGGGTGCTGCTACTTGTGGTGGTTTCGTGCATGTTGCAGGCAGCGGAGTCGCAAGATGGGGAGCGAAGCTGCCCTTTGCATTGCATCCAGTCCTGTGTAATTGCAGCTGTGTTTAACCAAGACCACGTGCCATTCATTTACCTTTCCTCTGGAAGGAAGATTACTTCTCCATGTAATTTTGTGGGTCCATCAGGGTGCTCTAACCCCATTTATGTCAGAGTTGAAGACATCTCTAGCTTTACCATGGAGTTTTTTATGGGCTCACAAGAACCTGTCCTGACCAACAAGACCACTAACTCCAATTTCTTCTGGTGGGCTGCTGGGCACGACCCATCCCTTTATGAAAATCATAATTACCGAGCTGAGGCTCTGGCATGCTGTGAGGAGCCTGAGCCGTGGTTTTCTTAATTATTATTTGCTTTACTTTGAAATCTGCTGGTAGTTCCTTTGAAAGATGAAGCCGGCGCTTTGCTAAGTGCCTTATGAGCATGTAGGGATGCAATCCCCACCCTGACTCTTCCTGTAAATGCTTATTTGCACAGAGCTCCTGGTCTCTCCCTGGCACAGGAGGGAAGAGAACGTATCTCTTATGCAGGAGCCAAATCCTTTAGTCTGGCTCGAAGACACTTGGAACAATTATCCCCTGAAGCAGGGATAATTCCTAGCTAGACTGTTAAGAAGGCTTTATGGCACACTTGTCCTATCAGCACAATGCAAAGGGGCTGTGGCTCTGTTCCAGGGTGAGTACCATCAGCCTGGGCCTTTCCTCTGCTGCTGCGGTTCCTGTCCTGGACCACTTTCCCTTCTAGCTGTGCTGCTTGAATCCCTTTTTGGGGAGTGGGAAATGGAGTCTCTGCATAGAGCTGATGAAAGTAAAGTGCTTATACTACCTCATTTGGGGGCAAAATAGATGAGAAATGAATGAAAAGCTGTTCCAGGAATAGCCACTGGCTTAGGTGAAAAAAGTATCCGTGTACTATGGCCCCAGACAGAATAAGGCCTGAAGAAACCCTGTGGTTTTGGTTTACCCAGAAGCCTGCTGTTATAGCCCGGGAAGCTCTGACATCCAGGTGTGTTAATTTTGGCGAGATTAGAGGTCCCTCATGAAAGATGGGATTATTTGGAGGATGTGTGATTGCAGTTTAAGATCAGATGCATTTCAACAGTCTCTCCAGCGACAAATCCCTCCATATAGCAAGTGCCAATGACACTCAGGGAAAGGATCAAACCAGTAACAACCACAAATTTACAGGGGTGATTTAGAGGAATCCAGGAAGCAGGGCAGAGGCAGGCCATCAGACTGCAGGCACCTGAATGGACGATGGAGAGCAAAGAAATAATCAGAAAGAAAAAGCCCAAATATTGCAAGCAGTGTGGGGAGTAGGATTGCAGTGTGTCCTGAGGATGCAGCTACCCAGGAGTTGGGGAGATGGGGGGAAGCAGCAGTCCCTGCAGTGGAGCAGGATGCAGAGGTGAAGAGGGAGGTGTCTGCAGCATGACCCTCTCGAATTCAAAGTCTCTTTCTGGCTGCAGAAGAAAACCAGGAGCCATTCTGCTGCTGCACTCGCAAACGCTGTTCTGACACCAACAACTGCTTTGGTTCCAGCAGGATTGTGTCGCCAGCTGCCACGTAGCCCCAGCAACGCCGATAAGCAGAAATAGTAGACTGGAGATATCTGATACACGGTAGAGCCATTCGGAGACACAGACAGGCAGTTGACGGGATACCCACAAAACAAGCGATGTTGCTTGGGGCTGACACGTGGGAATGTCACCCGTTGCTGGACAACAGGACGGTACAAATCATGGTTTGGAGGACAGTAGAAAACCATACCCTCCCTGTGAGAGAGCACTTACCTACCATGGGCTTATTTCTCTCTGCAGACTACATCTTGGCTTGTAATGCTAAGGCAACCTTTATTTAAATTAAAAGACTTTCACTTTTTTTCCTAGGGAGGGCAGGAGTGGGCAGTCTGACTAGGCTCACGATAGTTTGAGGTGCATCAGAATTGCCAACGGAAGTGTGTTTAGCAAGGGTTTAATTCTTGCAAAAGCACACCTTTTCATCAGAAGCGCCGTATCCAGGAGACAGTGCTGTGTGGAGAGAGAGAGAGAAACAAAGTGACTTGAGAAAAGTATTTCAACACTTACTCGTTTTCATTAGAAATGGGTGGTTTGGGCAGCTGACTGCACTCTGTTCAACTTCCGGAGACTCACAGGCATTCACTTCTAGGGTTGGGTTTGGCCACCGCTGTCATGCTTACACTTAAAAAAATATTTCATGATGTATCAGGTTCCCTGGCAAACTTTCATGCTGGTAGAGAGATGCAAAAGAGCCCCCTGATAGAATCACAGACGATGTGGGTTGCAGGGACCTCAGGGGGTCACATCTAGTCCAACCCCCTGCTCAGAGCAGGACCAGCCCCAACTACATCATCCCAGCCAAGGCTTTGTTTAGCTGGGTCTTAAAAATTTCCAAGGATGGAGACTCCATCACCTCCCTGTTCCAGTGCTTTATTACCCTCCTAATGCAAAAGTTTCTCCTCTAACCTCAGCTTCCCTTGCTGCAACTTGAGCCCATTGCTCTTTGTTCAGTCATCTGCCCCCACTGAGAACAGTCCAGCTCCATCCTCTTTGCAGCCTCCCTGCAGGGAGGTGAAGGTTGGTTTAGTTTCTGTAGAAAGGAGATTTTAAGTGAGAAGCAGGGCATCTTGTGCCTTAGTGATGGGCTTTTGATACTAGATCTCAGCTCCCCTGGTGCTAAGGAGCTTTGTGCCCATTCCTCCTATGGAAACGGGGTTTGAATCTTGTAGAGCATTTCTGCTCGGATGGAGAGTACTTCCACCAGGTCATGGTATTAAGGATATGCACTTGTAGGTCCTGCTGATGTAGAACATACGGGGCACACGATGATGGAAGTGTTTTAATGGGATGACCTTATCTCCAGT